AAGCAGTGAGAGCAATTAAGATCTGTTCCCCTGCTAATATCAGCTGTGGCAGTTACTAACCTAGTAACACGAATGTGGATGAAAACAGTCTGTTCCTACAGCCATAAGCTTGACACTGCATACCCTTGGTGCTATTGTAATTCCAGTGAATATCAATATAGAATAAACAAAAATGTATAAAATGTAAAAACTAAATTTGCCAAGATAGTTGTTTCATGTGGGGGTGATATGGAATATCTCTAAGAGGTGAAAAGTAGGAGCTGAATGAACTACTTTTAAATGCATACCAAGAACCTCTCTGTATTGTTGTACCTTTTAATTAGATGAAAATAAATGAATTGAAAAGATGAAAGGAGCTCGTGTAACATTTCACTTCAAAGGGCAGCTCCACTCTTGAGGAGTGTTTTTAAAAAAGAAAAAAGAAAAGCAAAGCAGCTTATTCAAGAAATATGCTTTCTCTGTGGATTTGGTTTCACTTTTACCTGCTTTAGAAACTTAGGAATGTCTTCTGCTTATTTGACCTAAACGGAGTCATTACCCCAGTGTAAAGGAGAGTGGAAGCTGGCTGACAGTGATGTTCCCCCCCGCGCTCCTTTATTGCACTTTGCATTGACTCAAATGAGCGGGATTATTTTTGACCTTCTGATGGGATTTTTATCAAAGTTTCAACGCTCTGGGCTGTGTTCTGGACAGAAATTGTACATGTGCAGTGGCTCTGTGTCTGCGTATACTTTGTCTGGGCAAATGAATTGAAAAAAAACCAGCTGAATCACTCATCATCTTGTCTGTTAAGCAAGTCAGCCTTCCCAGAATCCAGAGGCAGGTGCTCCCACCCAAAAGACCTAAAAGCCATGCCTTGTATACTTTCCATACACTAAATAGCTTACGTTATGCAAGATATTGCACCACCTCAGCATTGTCTGACTGGTCTTGAGGGCCCTTTTGGACTCCTGACTTAAGTCAGTGGTGTCCAACTCCAGGGTAATATTTTTGTCTTCCACCAAGTTTTATTCCTAAATCCTCTCTTTAAACATGAGTTGTTTATTTAGCCCTTAAGCACTTTATTTCCAATCACATCTGTCCAGGCCCTGACTCTTGTCATCATATTTCCATGTAAGGGTGACGTGGCTAAGGAGAGGATGAATTCAAACTGCCCAAGATGTCACAGTTTCCTTCCTTGCTTCAGTTGCCCTGAAGTGTGGGATTTGCTTTAGCAAATAACATTTGTATGCAGAAGCCTAACAGAGAAGTGTCACAACAACCAATTGAACACAGATTCAAAGAAAGACTAGCTTATCTCCATCCTTCAAAGATCCCGAAGGTGGGACCTCTCTCTGCAAGCAGTAGTTTTCTCTCGTAACTCAAAGGAAAAATTGCTGCTTCTAGAAAGAGAGGTCTTGTGTGACTTGGAAAAGAAGAACAGCTCATCAGCTTCATAATTCCTTGATAGATTTAGGCAGGCTGCTCTGTTTTTTGTTATGCCATGAGCTGTTTTACCAGTTTGCCAGGTAGCAGGTTGATGTGAAATGCTATCAGCTTTTCACAAACACAATCAGCTAAGCAATTGAGCTTGTCCCAGATGTGATTAAGTGGGATCAATTATAATAAGAACTAGAAATGAGAGATAAGCTTGTTGTTTCTTGAGTTAGTATTCTGCAGTATTAGGCTTTGTAAGTATCCTTTATACATCATCAGCTGCAAAACCTTTATTACTTCAGGAAGTGGCTTCTAGACCAGCATTCAAATGAACTTCATCCTAAACTGATTATTCTAACACTGGAACTACCATTGAGTGGGGAAACAATTTATTTGAAGTGTCAATTGCATCAAACAGAAAAGTAATCATTGAAGTCAATGTTTTGCAATGCAAGGAGAATGTTTGCTGTCAATCCTAAATACATAAAGAGTTCTCTGTGTCCGAAAAGGGGAATAGCTACCCTTCATAAGCATCATGTGTTGCCATGCTACTAAGTAAAATTGCTATAGCACTTAAGTCTTAGTTTGCAAAATATCACAATTTATAGATTTGCTAAATATCAGAATTTATAGATGATTCCTGTAAATTTTTCTGGGAATAAAGTGAAATGATCAATTCAATAGCTGGAAATATGGGGGAGATGACAGCTTTACGTGAAATTGCACATCAGTTGTTCAATAAATCTGAAGAATATACGTGAGAGTCAAGTGCACTGGAGGTAGTGTAACTGTACATATTATAGGAATAACGAAATATTAATGCTTTCTTTATCAGAAAGCTGGTAATAAAGAAGCAGAGGGGGCCATATGAACATACAAAATACGAGAGGAATGTTGCAATATAGTCCATATCTAAATTGTAAAAAATTGTACTTGCCCATATCTTTAAGCAAATATTTTTAACCTTGTTTTTAATTCTTTTCTGGCTTCTAGTTCCTGCAGTGGAGCTCCCAGCAGGCAATTTTTTTATGATTCAGAAAGAATAAATAACGTAGGTCTGACAAAACAACGCAGGATGCATATACTGCCACAATGATTGTGGTGTTCTGGAGCATAATGTTTGATCAAAGCCCCACAATTGTGTTTCCTTTCTTTTTTTCTGAACAGAAGGAGGTTCCTGAGCTCTATAATATTTCCATGAAAATCTTTAAGATCTTAGAATAGTAACATGGCTCATGCATCCGTTCTACTACTTAGCAATGGTTGTGCTGCAGTTGTCTGCTTAGTTAATAACACATCTAATGAATAGAAATCCAAATTTCATTTCTCTTTTTACTATAGGTAAGATTGGGAGGCGTTTGAAGATCTAGGCCGGCACCTTTGTTGCCCTTTCAAGTGCTTTTCTGTTCTGATAATGATAATAAGGTTGTTGAGGGTTGTGCAGTCTTCTTGATGGGCTCAGTGCCAGTGTCTCTGCTCTGGTCTTTAGAGTTTTACTTGTTTTGCTAGCCATTGCCAGTAACTGAGCAGGGCAGGTCAATTCACCCTCACGGATCATTTCTGTAATCTCTCCTTGGCAGCTGTATGGGACCACTGTGACATTTCCTGCAGCCAGTGCAAATTTTTAACGTTTTTCTGCATTTAATTCTAAAACCGCTGTTAGCCTCTGCCTTATCTCTTCTTCCTCCTCCCCCATTTTTTCTGCCTTTTTGGATAGGGTATTGCTTCCCTCAGGTACTGGTCCACAGGTGTCTGTGAAAATATTCCTGGTGTTAGGTCTCTTTCAAATCATGAGTGGCCATTTTAAATTTCATCACTGACAGCCTGTGAGGTTTCTTCGCTGAAGTTCAGGAGCAATAGACATTGCTATTAACTATTACTAGGCAAGATTCAGAAATTCCTAAAAAGGATTCTTTGACCTATTTTGTATTGAATTATGTGAGCATGAGTGGTCTCTTTTGGACTGTTCAGCCCTGTAGCAGTCCACCACTTTTCTCTTACCACTTGGTTTATGACTATTTGCTGCTTCTATCTCTCTTCTTTCATCCAGATGAACGTATTACCATATATACACAATATTCTTGCATTATTCTTTTGTATGGAATTATACTGAGTATTTTTGGAAGCTTTAAATGTCCTTCACCTGGCAGTGTCACTTGCAGTGTTTAAATTATTTGATAACTATAGAAAAATTAAATAGAAGATAAGAAAAATCATGATAGAAGTGAGAGCTATTTTACTATTCTATAGAGGTTTAGTTTATTAAAGAAAAAGCATTTGACCATTTTTAACCTTTAAGCCTCTTCACAATACGTATTTAATTGTGTCACCAAAAGCTTTTTACATGCATTATGAAAAATAATAGATCCATAAAAAAGAAAAGACCAACCCTTTTTTCTTGCCTATTATGTGTGCATGTAAAGTATTTTTGCCCAAGAGTGCCTCTGTTGTGCTCTGTGTTGTCCAGTCATTTTTCAATGTGGTCATCACCAGCTCTTTCTGAGAAAAATTCAAGAAACACCAGGTTACTGGGAAGGTCTCATCCTCATGGTCAGAGTTTAATTTTCAACTTGAACCATGAGATTAGTGGTTGTTGCTGGTGGGCTCATTTCCAGCATTAAGTGTTACACTTTTGGAGATGATACCTCCATCCTTCTTAGAGACTTGCTGTCACCCCAGGTTCAGCCTTACATGGTAGCAAGTTCTGTACAGTTCTGATTTGCGTCGGTTGTCCGCATTTTTCTGTGTTCCCTTTTTTGGTGAAGCAAGCTGAATAATGACTCCTTAAAACTTCTTGTGGACTGCGGTGCACACAAAACCTAAATAAAACATATTTTGATGCTTGATATGATGTCCCATCTGCCCCCTTGAAATCCTCTTGGACATCACTTCATGAATACATCCCCATCTTGGAGCTGCACCTTATCCTTCTGAACTGTTGGAATGACTGCAGTAGTTCATCAAATCTGTGTTTGTGTTTGTTTGTTTGTGTTTGTTTCCATTAAAAGGTGTTGGTAGGGGATGTACGTTTTCCCCCAGCCTTGTATAGAGCTCTTGTTATAGGTCAGTTATTTTTAATTGCCAGGAAGAGCACATGGAGGGAGGCTTGTTAGTGTTCTTCCTCTTTGCTTCAGGTAAGAAAGGTCTCTTGCCTTCTAACTCAACTGTATTAGAAGTAATCACATTGCAGTGGCAACGGAGGGGAAAACACAGTCTCCACCTGTTTCTTCACCTATTCCGGACATCTTCTGACATTGTCAGAAGGTAACTTAGGACCTAGTGACATTAGTTCATAAGACACAACTGTTACCCATTACTTGAAAAATCCACAACCCACAAGTAGCCCGCACAGGGGAAAATAGAACTTTCTCTGTGCAAGCTGTTCATATGAGCCTCTATACCTTTGAAGAATATATTTTTGCTTCATAGGACACTACGAAACTGGAATAAAAATCCCAAAGGGAAGACTTCCCACTATGCGAGTTAGAGTCACTGAATATAAATTAATAACTCTCAAAATAGATTTAAAGTCTATACCGTAGCTGCATGATTTGTTTACTGTGCTTATTTGTTCTGTTCTTTAGGTTTGAAGATGGCACAGTCTCTTTTCTTGATATCATTGCTCTGAAACATGGATTTGATGTTCTGGAAAAACTCACAGGTCAGTTAATATAACTATAATGCTGAAGAGTGAAGTTCCAGATTTATACTCAGGGCACAAGTCTGATCACATTTCCTATGGCTGTAGCCTGATTTTTCTTTCTAGATTTATTACCCATGTTTGTCAATGTGAAGATCAGACTTCAGTGTAACTGGTTTATCCAAGCCCTGTGTAATGGATTATTCCAGCCTGGTTTGGAAAAACCAAAATATGCAGACTCCACAAATAGACACACAAGGCTTGAGTACATTGTGCACATCTAGTCTGCCTCTCACTCACAAAAATGCAACAGGAAAATAATAGTAGAAAGTAGCTGAGCTACATCCTATTGAGACTTCGTGCAGTAAGAGTTCTGCTGTGCATGAGGACCAGGCAACTTGACCTGGTGCAGAAAAGCCATTTGGTAATACAGATTAAGAAAGGAACCAAAAAAGAGAGTTTAGGATACACCCTAAAGCTTTTTGTGTTAAATACCTGTGTGGACAGTGATCATCAAACAGTGAACTTTCCAGATTATGACTTTTCACAGCAGTTTATTTGTCTGTACTTTGACACACTTGAGTGGAAAGCAGCATGATGTTGGGGTTTTTGTCTCATTTTGTTCTTTATTTGATGTAACTTAGCACTGCAAGTCTTATGGAACTTCCCAGAAAAGCACATGGTTGTGAACTTAGAGTACAGTTCCTGCCTCTCGAGGTGCAAAGTGAAAGGAGAAGAGACAACAGTCACAGGCTGCAACAAGGGAAATTCTGACTGGGCATAAAGAAAGAATTTTTGCAGGATGAGGGTAATCAAACACTGGAGCAAGTGCCCAGAGAGACTGTCTGATCTCCATCCTTGGAGATGTTCAGAACTTGACTGGACTTGTCCCTGAACAATCTGATCTAGCTTTAAAGTTACCACTGGTTTGAGCTGGAGGTTGAACTGGATGACCTCAGGAGGTCAAACCTAAATTAGATTCTTTAACTACTGAAGGCTAATGCCTCCCTCCAGGCAGAGGACATTATAATGCAGGCTGGGGCATACTGAGCTGTGAAGAGTGGAAGACAGATCTTTCCAGTTACTGCTTAGGGCATATTCATGAAGTAGACGGTGTCTGTGGCTACGTGCAGATTCATAAACAAGTTCACAACCTGCCATCTTGATTTTGCCTGTGGTTTATGGACTTGAAATTCTCCAGTCACACTAACTTTGGGAAGCTAGTGCAAACCTGGCAAAGGTCTCTTCGCAGTGGACTTCCCTGTGGGAAGATCATTTCCATGACACTTTTAATACCATGACTTCATCTCCCCAAGCAAAAGGCAGGTAGCCTGGGATAAGAGGCCGGTGCAGGCTTTCTAGCTTTCTAGAGAGTCTCATGACTTTGAAGATCTTTTCAGTGGCTCCCATTGTTTGAGTGTCTTTGAAGCCCTTAACATGAAGCTGACGCTGAAGTCCCAAATAAAATTTTGAGCTCATATTCAAGACAGAAGCTCTATGTGAAGGGTGTTGCTTATGTGCCTTGTTATATGTTGATAGAGTACCCCAAATGTACAACCTCTCTGTGATTGCTGCCATGGGTCAGTGATTCTCCTGGAAGGTGCAGGAGGTGACACCTAGCCAGGGAAGCTTGCAGCACTGGCTGTGCAGGAGGCTTGCACCAGGGCATGTTTCCATATGTGGAGTGTGCTGGGTTAACAAAACATGTTCCTGAAATATGTATTTCATACTCATGTATGTGCACAGATAATATGTAATGTCTGAACCTCCCTTCTTCAGTGCACTCTGATTTCCTATATAAAGGGATAAAATGCATCATGATGTAAAAGAGACCCAAGTCCAGAGAGACACTGACAGTGCTCCAGCTTCCTCAGCCCTGTCAATGTTTCTGGTGGCCCTTCTGTGTTGGCTGTGAGAGCGAGGCTGCCTGGGGGCCTGAAGTGTAGCACCACAGCCTGCAAAGTGGTACATGTTGTCTGGAGCTGTATGGTTGCCCTTCCAAATGTTTAGCTCTTCAATTTCTATATACTGAATATATCTGTTTCTGGCATGATCGATACAACAAGAGATTCAGTGCTTTGCAATTGCCATTTTCCCCTCACCATCCTTTTTCCCCCTGTACATCATTGAGAATATTGGAGTTTTGCAGGTTATTTAATTTCTGTCAAAGGTCCACTGTTCCTTTTGAACAAAGAGTATTGTAATTTGTGTGTATACAACAACAAAGCTGTTGCATGCTGTAGAAACACTTTGTAATCCAGAAGGACTACAGATTTGTTTTAAGCCACTTTATGCATATTTCTTCTGCTTCAATTGTCAGAGGCAAATTGTTCAGTGGCAAAATGCAGTCAGATGTGAACTATCTCTGAATCTTACTTTGCTGTAGCTCCTGGAATACTTGCTTTGCACTTCCCCAACACAAATAATGATTCTCATTCTGGGTTGGAAATGGCCTGGAGTAGAAACAAGCAAAATAAACAAAGTATTGTTTGTTATGAATTGTGTCCTTCTGTGTAATAAAAAAACTGCTGAAGTTCTTTTGGGATGTAGTGTAGCTGGATTGTACCAGAGTAATTATTGAAGATAGAGAAGGAGATCGCTAATGGGAGGTAATTCAGAGTTTCAGTGTTGTGAAAAACAGAGATCTGTTTCTGAGTCTGATACCATCTGACTAAATTCTTGACCTATCTCAGCTTCCATTTAACAACAAGACATATTTCATGCCACAGTTTCATCATGATGTGTTTGTGTATGTAAACCATTTTCAGAAGTCTTGTGTCTTTATGATTTTTAAACTTAAGCTTTACCTGGTATATATATTTATTAGTAAATTTTTATCAGTTTCACAAATTATACTAAGGTACATAATTTGCAATTGTGTTAGAAGGCATACTTTAATTATAATATCTGTTCATTAATTCTCTTCACAAGAAAATATAGTATGTATTGGAAGACATTTTAAGATGCAGATTTAGTCTTCTAAGGATGATGAATTGGAAGTCCCTTTTAAATTCACTGGATGCATGAATGGTTGTTGGAGAGTAAAGGTTGTGTTGACTTTCATAAAGGCAATTATACCACACAACAGCCAAAGCAAAATACGGTGCAGGATGCTAAATGGTGAGGCTAACTTTGATTTTTAATTTGGTCTTTTGGACTTTTGAGTTGTGTTTTGCCATTTTATAATTTTTACCATACTCTGGCACATCAAAGACTGGTTGCAGCCAGTGATGAGATGTTGGGCAGCAGTTTAGTGGTACTGCACAGATTCTTATGCATGTTGTGTTTAGATACTTAGGGTTACGGAAGTTACCCAGTTTAGGGCCAGAAAAGAATTTTCTCCTCAGTCAGATTAGCAGGGATTACTGTGATTTCTTCTCCTGTGTGGAGTTTGTGACTGCATCCTGCTGTTGTCTGGGCATGTTACCTAAACTTGGACTGTGGGTGTGGTGCTTGTGAATTTTATTGCTTTCATCCTTGCTGTTGCTTTCATTCATAATTTTAATGGATTTTGGGCCTTTCTTTTAAAAATCGTAAGATTAAAGATGACATTAGTACTTGTGTTCTGGCTTGTCATATAGGTGTGTTGGAAGTGGATGTGTATTTATTAAATTCTTCCATTTCAGGGTGATATTATTCCTTGGGTTTAAGAGAGAGAATGAATCACTGATGAAATGTTTACTTTCTCCATGCCAACTATTTGCCACAAGATGAACTTTAATGTAAAAAAAACCTGGGCAATTTGTGCTGTTCCTCCTCACCTCACTACTCATGATTAACACCTTCTCTAACTGTACTTGAGAGTTACGTATTGTTGGGTTTTTTTCTATGAAAAAATGTTTGATGAGTTGACAGTAGGGAGATGATGCTCCGTCCACACTCTAAATATGAAAATATGGATACACTGAAGAGAGGGCATTTTAAATTCTGGCACCAGAAAGAAAAGTTTGACTTCTAAATGTGACGGGTATGCATAAGAGCTTAAAATCCAAAGGTATTCTGATTCCCAGATAATGACACTACTGGTATGTCAAAAGATAAAAACCTCTCCTCTCGTTTCATGGGTAGCAAGGTGACTGTTTCTGTTTTTAAATTTCTGTCCCAAGACAGAACCCAAGACAGGTTTAGAGAACAAACTAGAAAGTAAGTTATTTATTCACTGCTAACAGTTCTTGCTGGGTTTACTAGCTTTCTTTTGTGGCTTGACTAATGCAAACTAGACATCATTTGTACCATTGAAAGCAGAGCAGAACAGCTAGAGCATGAATTGAGAAGCTTTGAAAAAGTGACTTGCCAGAAGAAATCCTGCCAGGGCTGCATTTGCAGACTTTAATCTGTATATAAGGTTTCTTTCTGGAAATAAAAACTGCTTTTATGTTTTGGGGGGTTTTAATATGCATTTGCTAATATTGATGTGAATTGCATTCACAAGCTGCCTAATCTGTGATGAGGCCTAGGAAATGTCAGAGTCATTCCTCAGACCTGTACAGACCTGTACAGATAACACAGGAAGAGGTAGTACAGCACATAAATGTTTTGGGTGGCTTTGCATAATACCTCTAGAGAGAAAAATACGCTTCTTAGGAACTAATAGAAGGGGAAAATGTCTTTATTATAAGCTGAGCTGATGAAGAGAAAGTGCAGCACAGCTGACAGAAAATATACTCTTGGCAAGAGGTAATTGTTCTGTGTTCAGACAAAAGAGTTTGCAAGACTTCTGCAGTGAAGGCATTTGATGGCATCCAGTGTTATTACAGGGGAGAGGTTTGCTGCAGAGTCTTTTCGTGCTTGGGAGACTCCTGGGAAGAGGAAGCTGGGGAAGCTAATAGCTGGGGGCTCACCACAAGATGCTCTTGCATTGGCTTTGGCTTGCCAAGGCAAGAAGTAGCAGGGAGCATCAGTATCCAACACAGACAGGCTTCTCACTCATCCAGTGATAACTGAGCTCTTGAGGTCTGCAGTTACTGAGAACTTCTCCTTCGGCAGCACTGTGTACACTGCAGGTCTCAAATGCTAAAGAC